ACAAAACTCCTGGCAGCCATTGCAACCAAAGTAATGGCGATAAAGAGTTGCAGCAGCTTTGTTTTATAAGAAAACGTGAACGAAAGTATATGCAAATATCTAACGTATGTAAACTTCAAATTATCTAATGTTAAAACATACTAAAACATATATCAAGTTTTACAGTTTTACTTTCGCTTGAAAATTGCATTGTGTCAACCTCTCTTTAATTTTTTATCTACAGCAATGATTTTGCTTAGAAATAGTTAATATATAGTTTTAAAATTTCAATTGTCAACGTACCAGCATGGCAGAGTGGTTAGCATGCTGAGCTTTTGAACTAAAGAGCTGTGGTTCAAGTCCAACCTCCAGAAGCCTTTTTTTTTTTAATTTTTTTTATGTTTTTTAAAATACAAAATACTTAGGAAGTTTTATAAAGATTATATACAAACATATCTAACAATATTATACCACTTTAACAAACAAAAAGATTTTTAAAAAAGATAAAAATTCTAACAACATTAAAAAACGAGAAGATATTTGTTGCGCATGTGTCATGATTGAGATACTTATGTTACTTTAGTTTTACATTTCAAGTTTTTCTTACAACTAAGTTGAGTTTGTGCAAGGTAAATAAGTGCACAACATAATTATATATAGAATATAAAATCTATTGAATTGTAAAGTTGTTTTGTTTTGCATTTTAAATAACAAAAATTAAAAAATATAGCAAGCTGATGATTTGAACTTGCCACACAGCAACCTTAACTTTTTCAAAACAGTAAGGGGGTTTAAAAAGTATGTTTTATATAAGAAAACAATTGAAAATTCTAATTTTATACTTAAATTAAACCATTTTATTAAATTAAATACTTTTAAAAATAATTAAAAGTTAAAGTTATTTAATATTGATACAATAAAGAAATTTAGAGTTTTACAGCTATTTTACCGCGCCCCCTTTAAACATTCTAAACCGAGTGCGAAAAACAACAGAATTTAGCTAACCATCAAAATAGTATTATATTCCATTATTTTTTGGCAGTGGATTTTTAATATTAAATTGATCATTCATGGAGCTATCTAAAGTAGTGGTAAACAGAACTCTTTAGTGTCCAAATAAGCTACTAAATTAGTAAGTAAACATTGACTACAGACTCTAGAAATGAACCATGATTCTAGACTCTTAGATGCCTTAGATCTATAAAAGAGCTATTCAAAAAATGAAAAATTTTATTCTAATTCTAAAAACAGAATTGTCAAATCACTGCATAGCTATTAGGAACAATATTTGTGAACTATTAGGAACTAGTTCGTTTGTGAACTATTAGGAACAACATTTGTGATTTGTGAACAACCGTGTTTTAATATAAAGGGCATCAATAATAAATTATGCAGTATCACTTCTAATAATTTTTTGCTACAGGTGGCAATCACTCACAACTTTTGCTGAAAACAACCAAGAAATTGTCCATGGTCATAAGCAAAAACAAAATGTAATCATGAAACCACTCTTCTTAAAATGTACAAGCCAATATAATAAGGGGATAGTATGCACCAAACCCTAATACCAATAAACCAATAAGCCCCTATCTAATTTAGTAATACATTAATTTAGTAACACCAATAACACCCTTGATTTAGTAATACATTATACTAAGACTAACTTGTATGAATAAATAAAAAACTTACTGGAGGAGTTAAAAGAAAATTAACTTCTTCAACAGTTTTTTGTAGCTTTAAATGTGCACGTTCTTCTGTATCTTCTACCATAATTAAAACATGTAAATCTTCGTCTAAGTGTTCATAGTTAGGCAAACCACGTTTCTCATCTTCAGCCTTCTTGTCTTTCATAGAACCTCTACCTCTTACAAGCAATTTGCAAGCAGTTTCTTGTTCTACTTGTCTTAAAGTTAATCCTCGAGGCCCAATGATTCTTCCAACAAAGTTAAACTGGTAACAACAAATTAAAATCATTTTAAGCTTTAAATAAATAAAAATTCTAATTAATTTTTTTTCTAAAAGAAAAGGAAGTTTACCTTTGGATATTCTTTGACTTTTGCATAAACCTTCTCAGTAAGTTTTACAATGTTTCCTTGAGGTTTAGGCAATGACATTAAAAAGTTTGAAGGACAAAATATATCATTTCGAACCCGATTAATTTCTAAATAAATCAAATAAAAATTATTCATGTATACAAATAATATTTAAAAAAATATTTTATGGTTTCAAAAGATAAACTAAGGCTGATAAGATACAATCTCTCTAACTCGAAATTTATTGGAGAAAGTAAAAGTTTGAATTAAATAGATTTTCAAATTACAAAAAGTTGACTTTTTAATGGTGATTACAAAGATTGCCTTCAAAATCTGAAACTAAATTTAAAAAAAGGAAAGGGCAGGGAATTTTAGTCCAGATCTAATTTATGAATTTTTTTCAGTATTATAAAATAGATGTTAGTGACGTATTAATCCAACATTGATAAATATAAAATATAGTTATTCCGCAATAATGAAACCAAAATGAAATAAAAAAAAATGTTGAAACTTATCCTGCACCAGAGCAAGTTGCAACAGTGAACGGGGTAAGTTGCAACAAAATAATTTGAAAGTATAAGCCTAGCAGAGTTCAGTATTACAATGATGAGGAATAAAATTAGACAAATTTGTGTACACAGAACATACTTGCATAAAGAAGATTATTTTAGTAAATAGTAAATATGATATACCAGAACATCATGAAAAAATAAGAAAAGTTTAAAATGCTGCTCAGGATTTTTCAAACAATAATAAAGTGAAAATACTTGTAAAATAGAATTTCCCTCAGAACTATTCTTTATCTTGATTTAAGCTTAATCAAAATGAGAAAATAAAAACTTGGTTGCTTATCCAATAAATAAACTTTCTTTTTCATGCTTTGGTTTCTTTTCCAATAAAATTGGAAGAGAAACCAAAAAATGAAAAAGAAAGTTTATCTTTTTATACTTTCACAACTTTCAGAGTTTAAAAATTTCTTATTTCAGCCTTTTTAAGCTATTTTTATCATCTTTTTAATTATCATTGTTTCTTTAATTAGAAAAAAAAAAAAGATATCAACTGATAATGAATGTCACTATTTTTAGTACTAGAAGTAGATTTTACGATGTTACAAAATATACTAACAAAATACTTTTGAAATATAACAGAAAAATACTTTAAGTTAAAATAAAACGCTCAAAGGAATAAACTTTAGTAAATACAATGCTTAAAGTAAAAAAAGATCAAGCAGAAAGAAATCTTACTGAAACAATTCTACTGTAACTTATTCTCAATAAGCCTAATAGCACTTATCTTAATAGCACTATCTTATCCTAATAGCACTTATCTTAATAGCACTAAATATTTGACTAATGCGTAACATAATTTGATTCTTTTGAATATAAAGTCAGCTTTATTAAAAGTTTTTAAATTACTTTTTTTTTACTAAGAGAATAAAAGCTTTTGCGCAATATGTAATATTTCCAAAGAATTGCCTTTGATGTTTATACTATAGACTTAAAATAGGTTCAATAAATAAATGAAAATTAATTGAAAAAAGATATTTGAAATCACAAATATTATGTGCATATCATGGACTATCTTTACATGAGCATATCTTTAAAAAGAGCATTAGCATTGTAAGATTGAAATCATTCAGCTTCCAAATTCAAATCAAGGACAAAACATAATACTAGTTGTATATTATCTTTAGATAAGATACATTTTATTTTGATTAGAATTTACCTTAAAGTAAGATATAATTAAACCATATCTATTTTAAGATCTAACTATCAATTAGTTTTTATTGAACTTCTGAATATTTATACTATGTATTCATTTTATCATACATTATTTACTGGAATACATAATTAATTACATTCAACATTTTTATTCAGATTAAAGTAATGTTGCTCTTGTCCTTGCAGCCTTTAAGGACTTTTAAAGATATTTTTGTCTTAATTTTCAAATTTTCAAGTCTTAATAATAATAAATATATATTGAAAATTCAAATGAAAAATTCAAATATTTAAGCAATATTTTCAAAGAATTATAATCGATGATGTAATAAAAACGTAATTTTAAGTAAATAACAAAACACAATTTGTCATTTCTCATTTTAATTTATAATCAGCAACTCACCTTCGTCGAGTAACCTTTCGGAATGAAGGAATATTTTCGGCATTTTTGATACCGTAGTTTTATCTTGCAAAAGTTGATTTAGGTATTCTGAAGCACTTAACTCGTCATGAACCATTTTTTGCGCTGATAACGATTGAGGATTCGGTGAAGTGGATTTAATTATTTTTGCCCTCTTATTACAAGCCGAAAGACCTGTTGTTGCCCTAGTAAAAAAGTTAAGTTTTCTAAAGAGTTGTAAAGCAAGCACTGTTCAAGTCAAATAAAAATGTTTAGATAAAAACACGGGGGTTAGACACTAATTATAACTGCTTATAAAGAAACGGACAATTGATCCCAGGAGACTTGATAATTTTGGTGTTTTTAATATTTAGATTTTAAAACTTTAAAAGCGCGTTTAGCTACGGCGTCCTAAATGAGTTTCACTAAAAGTAAAAGCTTAAAGTTAAAAAAAATAGGTAATTTGTTCACATAAATTTTTGTAACTTTGATAAAAACTCCCTGGTTTTTATTTTATGACAACGAAATTAAAATAAACATCTCCTTGGTCTTTTCAAAACAACGTTTTACGAAAGAAAAACAATATAACACAGCACATAATAAATAAACAAACATCCTCTTATGCTACGTTAAAAATTATAAATAGATTTTTTATTTCTATTTTAATTTGAAAGAAAAAAAATCATAAGTGTAAACTTTGTAGAGTGTGAAAACATAAATGTAGTTTGTTGTAGGTGATCACGTTGTTAAGTTTTTAGAACAAAAATAAAAAAAGTAAAAAAAAAATCAAAGTAAAAATTTTTAAAGGTTAAAAAATTATTTAAAAATAAAACGTAAAATCTTATTAAATAACTATTATATAAAATTTTACCTTTTTTTATTATTATAAAATCGCTGCGATAGGTTTTAAAACACCTTTCGCCTGCATTTTAAGCTTGCAAATGCAAATATAATATCTTTTAGGTCGATGGAATCCAATAACCGGTTTTCTATTTGAACAATAGAAAAATAGACATCAATGCGTTGACGCAGAAAAGAAGTTATAAACTTCTTGAAGAAAGTTAAAGAAATTAACAGCAGCTTTCCGCGGATTCCGCGGCACTCACTCCTACGAGGTTCAAATAGTGAGCTGCACATGGAATGTATTCAGCGAGAACGTTGATCACTTTAATTTTTGCTTGTAAACCAAAGTAGATTCCAGTCATATTACTGGTATTGTCGTATGACTGACCACGGCAATTTTGAATGTTGATCGCATACAAATCTAACTTTTTCAAAACGATTTCAAGCATGCAACTACAAAATGATTATGCATGAGAATGAATGCTAAGAACCGCTAAACTGGTTTTCTGTACACATTGGGAGTATAATCAACAATAATTGAAAAATATTTCGTAAATTAGAATTTGCTAACTAAGAAATTATGTTTGAAGCAAATAAAAAAGTTATACTATAAATGTTACTTAAGGATGATTATATCACTTATAAATTCCATAACCTCGGCGGCTATTAAGTATATGAGTTCTTCGCAAATGTTTTTAGATAAGTACAAGGTACAACTCTTTCCTTTTTTTCTATGAGTTATCAAGTGTTGGGCGAGGAAAGGATTAAATCTTACTAATAGCTCAATACATCCAATAAGGTTTCCGTAGCGTATCGATCCTAGTTTTTCGTCTGATCCGTGGAACGATAATCCTCAGAGTATGAACAATAAATAAAATATCCTACTATTTTAATTTTCTTTTTTCACCATTATATTTATAAACAATATAATTCTTTTCAGTGCAAAAACAAGTAAATGAAACCAATCTTGATTAAACATGGTTTAAAAAGAATGTCTCTAAAGAAAGATCTTGGCACCTGACAAAAAGAATACTTTGCATAACACTTAAAAGTTACTATTAGTACTGTTTCACAAAAAGTTGCGCTTAATGAAACAGTTAGTAAAAGTTTAAAGTTGATAAATGTTTAAATATTTATGTAGAAAACTTTACAAATTTTGAAAAAAAAAAAATTGAATTATGTAGTTCAAAACTTTTGTTGTTTGCGATGTTTTATACAATATAAAACAGCCAGTACTTGATTAAAGTTTGTTTCTATTTATATTCGACCTTTCTTCTCTTTAGCCTTTTTCCTCTATCAGCTCTGAAGTTGTTAATAAGAGAAAAAAAATTTATACATACTGGTTTATACTGATAAAATGCGTGCATATTACATCATATTAAAGATGCTTGTCAACTTTATAACCATGACCTTTAAGAAGGTTGGGCACTGTGTTTAGAATGCTTATTTCAGAATTGAGAGGTTTCAGATTTGATGCCTACTGTCCAATTATGTAACATCGGTAAGAAGAGCGGCGTGATCTTTCTTAATAGATGTGCTCTTCCGTGATGCTCTGTGATAAAATTGTTTTTATGGAACACCTTAATAACCAAAAATATTAAAAAAAAGAAAAACTTTTTTTTTATAGTAACTTGTTTTGTATCAGTATTTTATTTTCTTATATATTCATAACATGTCAAAATAGTCATCAAATTATGTAAACTTGCCCTAAAATTAAAAATTATGTAAACATGCCCTAAAATTTAAAATTATGTAAACATGCCCTAAAATTTAAAAGTTTTCAATAAACTAGTTAAAATCTCAAGTTTCACTGTACTTTCCAAAAGTCACTAGTGACACAACATTAATTTTATTTTTTTACTTTCATCTATTTTGAAAACCCAAAAATACATGCTTTAAACGAGGAAAAAACTTGTACACGATTCTAATATTTTCACACCACATCACATTTCATCTTTTTGTCGGTTTTTGTTGCCGCAGTTCTTATTCTTTTAGAGAACTTTGATTGGTTAACTTAAAATCTTCTCCTGGACAACGCGTGCCCACTGGGTAATAGTGATTAAATTACACATGACTTATGTATATATAAAACATGTAGAATATTTTTCTATTTATTTATGACTAATTGTTTATGATTAATTGTTTAGTATGTTATTTTTGTACATCTGTTATTTTGCACTTGTAAGCAGAAATGTGCCGGAACCAGTTTACGCCGAAAGTACCGGGTGCGATTCCGGGTACCCGGCACCGTGTCCATCTTAAAAAGTTGGTATAAAAGCTTGTGAAATTTTCAATGCTGAATCGTTTTCACAAAATAATACTAATTAAATTGTGCTTGTTAATTTTTCCTAAATATACCAAGTTTCTTTTTGATAAACAACTATATTTACACTCCAGGACATAATTTCAAATTACGCAAAGTGTAACCTCGAAGTCCATAACTATTTTTACTCCCTCAGGGTTGTTAACATTTTAAAATAACTTTCCATCTGACGTCGTCAATGTTAAAAACATCGAGAGCTTCAATGTCAAAATTAACTCTGTCAACTTCGAAAAATACTGTTCCAGCTTACCAATTTTAGTTTTATAAGCTTGGGATTATATAAAATATATTTTTTTTATAATTTATCACTTAATAATCGCAAATATGCGGTAATTAATCAAAAGTTATGTTATGGAAAATAAAAGAGGTAGTATCCCAAGAAACAAAAGTCAATTTTGTTAAAAATAAATAAATAATTTTGGATTATTATTCGTTTGTTCACGGATTAAAAACCTTTTCATTTATTATTTTAAAATTAAGTTTTACTTATGCATTATGTCTACCAAATCAGTTTTCTTTTCGTAACAACGCCATAGCAACCGATATATAAACAAAACATTTGTAAAAGGTTTGCGTAACGATTATTTTATCTTGTTAATAATATATACACTTACTAAAGCGTGTTTTAATAAGCATTTTCTCACTTTTTCTGCTTACCTTAAGCTATACCGTTCTTTTCAAAAAAGAAGAAAAAACAAAGAATGATGAATAAAACGATTGCTTCCCCATCCCAAACTCTCAGTTCATGTAGCAGCCCTCCACTGCGAGTCAGGCTATTTGTCAGTCGATGTATGTACTGAAGCCCCCAGCAGCAGGCTATTTCAGTATGACATCAGATTGCTTATCTTAGTACGCAATACTATTTGTACGCAATACTATTTGTGTTTCAACACAAGTTAAAGTACCACTTAAAAAATAGTTACAGCACTTAAGGTTATTGCTTATAATTTTTTTTTTTTTTAAATTATCCGGGTACCCGGGAAAACAGTCGAAATACCGGGTCCCCGAGTCTTCTCTAATATTTGTTAGTGATTGGATGCTTTGGAAACTGTTTGTGCATTCATGTCTCTCTCAGTCTATATATATATATATATATGTGTATATATATATATATATATATATATATATATATATATATATATATATATATACATACATATATATATATATATATATATATATATATATATATATATATATATATATATATATATACATATATATATATATATATATATATATATATATATATATATATATATATATATATATATATATATATATATATATATGCGCAATACTTAAACTTATACGCATTAATTAGCGGCTCACATTTAATTAAAACAATATTCGATATTATGTTTTGTTAAAATATCATTACACATCAAAAAACTTTTGGTGCGTATCTTTGATGTTGAAAGATACTATTTTTGTGTAAATTGAGCATACTGAAATAACCCGATGTTTTTTAGTGAAATTAACGAATTTAAAAATCTAAATTTTTAGTGGTTTTAATTGCTTTTTAAATAAAAGCAAAACATTGGTAAATTTTTTATATTATAACAATACTAAATATCTTTTTGAAATTTAATTGCAAAAAATTTGTATTTTCATTGTATAATGTTTGAGTTAACAAAAATTTGAAAAATAACGATTTTTGTTGTTGGTGTTGTTGTTGCGTAAAAACAGTTAATTACCAATAAATCGAACCTTTATTCGAGTCCTAGGAAAATGGTTTGACTCAACGTCTAGGTAACTGAAGTTTATAATATCTTTATCGTTACGAACTGTCGCTTTCAAGTTGCTTGCTTATTAGAAAGCGATCCACAAAATCAAATAGCTGATTTCCCACTGGAAAGTTTTTATTATTACAAAAACTTTCTTTAATACTAAATTTTATGCATCTAATACAAAGTTGTATGCAAAATTATGACATTGGTATTAAGAGAGTGCAACGATTCATACTATGTGTAATATAATAACAGTTATTAGCATTTTTTCTTGTTTTATTTCCTGTTTTAATATTTTTATGCTGTTGGAATAAACAAAATTGCTTATTGCAATTTCAGAATGTTTCACTGCACCTTAATAATATATTAAGCCTAGTTAAAAAAGTCTAAAGTTTTTTTGCTAACAAAATTACCAACCTAAGCGTTACCTATATTTAAAGATATAATAAAGTATATAAACAAACTGTTTAATCATTTGTTTAACCTTTAAATTGATTTTATCAAATATCAAAGATTTTATCAAAGATTTTTTGTAAAACTCTAAGTTGGACATAAAACTGTTTTAGGTCAACCAAAAGGTTGACCGCAAATGAAAACTCATTTCAAAAACCTACATGAAGAAAAATTATCTGAAAGAAACAGATTTGTATCGCTAGCAAACATTACTAAATTGCAACTATTAAGTTTATATGTCGCTTGTATGGGCAGAATTAGCACCGAACCTATGACTTCTTGGTTCTGAACTCTAACCACTGTGTCGAAGCTTCTTATTAAACATATTTAATAATTGAAATTTTATAAAATTTTTATGGTTTTGTGAAAAAAAAGGTATAAAATAATAATTATCATTCAAAGTTTTATGTGGTATTGCAATTTCAATTTAACTATATAGTTTGCTTTTGTAATTCAATTTTCATATGTTATCGCATTTTTAATCTAATTAATTTTATTTCTCACCCGGTATCTTTATTTTAATTAAATTTTGCATGTTATCGTGATTCTCACGTATATATACGTTTCATTTTGCATTTAACAAAAATTATTTTGTTCATAATAAATTCACAAATTCACATTTTCAATTTTTTTCTTTATTACTATTAAATGAGAGTATGCAAACAGTCAATACTGTAAAACTCTTTTTGTTATTGCCACCGTGTATTTATTTATTTACTTTTCTTTTTTTTGTATCGTAGTATCGAATTAATGTTGATATTAACTTAAGCGATATCATACGGTACGAGATCATACCTCTAGGTATCGAATTAGTTGATACCGATAAGCTAGTTAGCAAATATCAGTCACTGTAGTGACTGACAATTGTTGCATCACTAGTTATCATATTACTATACTGGTTTTTAGTTCTTTTTGCAGAGTAAGACACTACAGTCGAGGAAGCTACTTTTTTGTTGTTACAACCTTCTCTTAACTCTTTAATTCCGAATCGCAAACCTCGATGAATAAGGTCGCTGCACATAGAAACAAGTTGATCGCAGTATTACTAGAGATATGGTGGATTGAGCTCAAAACTTCTGGTTTATGAAGCAATCTACCACTATACCACTACCGCATAAACTTATGAACTTTCTGCTAGTGGGGCTCAACTTTTTTTTTTTTTTTGCAACAAATCTAAAATGTGTCAAATAATCGAGTTAAAAAAATGGAGTAAGTTTTTTATTTATAAAGTACGAACTTTGGTGTCAATATTAGTGCTACATGCTACATAAACTTTCAACCTTACATTTTGTGAAATGCTAAAATAATTTTCCTTAATCCATTACACAAAACATATCTTGAACGAATCGACATCCTGGAAATGACTTTACAAATTCAATTTAAAAATTTCAAATAAAAAAAGTTAAATCTTTACCCATTGTTTAAACTATAGCCAGCATTGTTTCGCAGCCATTCTTCTAAATTGTTAATTACTCGTTCATCAAAGATGCATTCTTTATTTCCTTGCAATAATCTTGAATTCATGAGTGGTAAATTCATATTTATCTGTTCAAAAAAATAAAAAAAATAAAATATATAAATAACTTAAAATAATTACAAACTTGAAAAAATATTTTTTGTTTATTTTCAAAATTAACAGTTTTTAACAAAGCTCTCTGTGAACCTTAAAGAATATATTTTATGTAATAAAATGAAAAGTTACTTCATGGTAAGTATTATTGAGGAAAACTTCGCGATCACGTCTTTAGTATAGTGCAAAGAGTCTTTCGTTTATAGTCTTAATTTTTAACATAGTTTCAAACAAACTCTTGGCACAGAAAATTCATATAGTAATTTTTAAAAAATCAAAAGTTTATTTGAAATTATTATTATATTATTATAAATTATTTGAAATTATTTTTATTTTTATATTAACAATAATTATTAACACATTATTATTTATATAATTATATACAAAAATTCTAAAAAAAAATTGTTTTTAATTTTTGATTTTTGACAACCGATCCGTAGAAGTAATGAACAATTTTTTGATTATAGAAATGTGTTTTTTTGGTTTTAGAAATGTGTTTTTTTTTGGTCTCAGAAATGTGTTTTTGTAGCAAAAAAACTTTATTTATTTAGTTCTTCAGAAGATTTTTTGTAGTTCAACTATTTTTTGATACGAATATTTTAACTGTACATTGCGCCGCGGCGGTTATTTCGAGGCAACTTTGAAAAAAGAGTACATTTAAAAAAGTAAAAGAATTTTTGTTTAATGTAATCTGAGTAAAGGAACTTTTATATAAATAGTTGTTATCTTTAAAATATGTAAATATTCTATGTAAATTTTATTATAATTTAGCTTATTATGAAACCCAGGTAGAATAATTTTTTAAAACGTTTTTGATTTTGAAATAATTTTAGGAAAACATCCAGTAATCTTTTTCAGGGGTTCTTTAACTATCCCTAAAGTAAAGTACCCCTAATTGTGCGGCCGTGATGCAGTGGTTAGAGCGCTTGTTTTATAAGCAGGAGATCCAGGTTCGAAACGAGCTTTGAACATATTTCACGTCATGGTAAGGAAAGAGGCGTCAACTTTCTGGTTAAATGCACTTTCGCGGTGCTCTGCGACAAGACCGTTAGGACTGCTTGGGTCACCTAAATAACAAATTTTTTTAAAAAATGTCACTTTTCAATGAATGCTATTTACAAACATTATGTATTCATTAGTATTTTTTTTTCTTTTTGTGGGTGTGTGCGTGTGTGTGGTTATTAAGGTGCTCCCAAAAGTCCTTACTGTCTTCTCACAAAGCACCGCGTTAGAGCTTCACGCCTCACAGTAGAGTTCACGCCTCTTTTCTTACCAACGTCGCTTCCTTACCAATGCTCGCCACGACTGCAATAAATATCTAATTGAATAATAATAACAATAATGCAAAAATTGATTATATAAAAAAAACGTAGACAAAAAATTAGTTAAAGTTATTAAATGATTTTTGTATTAACACTACGATTTAGGATTTAAATAAATTTATACGGCAAAAAATAACAAACTACCATAAGGGCTTTATAACAAATTATACAGAATAATAATATTGATAATAATTGTGAAGGCATTGACAGTAAAGTAATTAGCGATAATAATATTATCATTAAAACAATTATAACATTAGTAGACATAATATGTCTACTAATGTTATAATTTTTATCATCATAATACACAGTATTCATAATACATAAACACAAAAACTTTAGGATGGGTGAATAAAAATAAGCAATTGCTTTTACTCAATTTTTATTCACCCGGCCTATTATATGTCTTTTTAAACTTTTAAAAGGTACCAAGTACAGGTACGAAGTCAGAACCAACGCAAATTATTATTTTCTTTTTCTATTATTAAGATCAAGAGAATATTTTCAAATCTAATATTTAAATAAATGTTAGATTTCATATATTTTATTTATTCATATATTCATAGATTTTATATATAAAATTTGAAAATAGAACTACCTCAAAATTTTCATTTTTGCGACTTGGCATATTTCAAAAACTTACTCTTCATATATTTTATTATACTAATATTTATTTTATTATAATAACATATATTTTACACAAATATATATTTTTATATACTAATTAATATTTAAATTAATAAATATTTATTTTCATATACTAATATATATCTTTTTTGTTAGAAATGTTACATCGGTATACTGATCTGATACAAAAGTATGGAAAGTCAAAATCTCACCAATCAAAATATACAAAGTATAAACGAATTTTGTTCGAACTTACCGACCACATCTAATATTGCCCTGAGTTAAATTTAAATGCTGTATGAAAAAATTACTTTCATGGTATTCATTGCATTTTGATGGCAGCTAGTGAATTAGACCGTTAAGCCAAATATTTTACTACTTTCTATACATTCCGCATTTTTTACAAAGATTTTTTTTATAATTTTATAAAGTTATAGTTTTTAATTTTTCTTTTTTCAGAACAAAATAAAAACAAGAAAAATTAACTAAAATCGGAAAATTAATTAATAACCAACTGTTAAAATAAAAATAAAAGTTTCTTTTAGAAAATATTATTATATATAAAAAAGAAATAAAAAAAAAATCGAAAGTAAAAATATTTTAAAACGCTTTCATGCAAAAAGAAAAAAAAAAGTTTATGTTGTTGTTGCGCAATAATTCTGCAAAAAAAAAAAAAGAAGAGTAGTAATAGTACAGAGACGACGACCGTGAGGGAGGGGGGGGGGGAGGGGCAGGGATCACGTGTCCCACTTTTTTTCTAAAAAACCTTTTTTTTTTTTTAGAAAATTCTAGATATAGAGAACTCTCTTTAGAAATTGACAATTGTGCCCCCCCCCTGCTTCGAAACCCGTGTCGTAGGCTCTGTAGTAAAATAGAGTAATAACAGAAATAATTATAAAAAATAAAAATAAAAATAACAAAAACAAAAAAACTGTAATAAACATTAATAACCAGTAAACATAAAATTTGGAAAGTATAAATATTTTATAAATAAAAACTATAAAAATAATACATTTATCATGATAAAATAATTTAAACTGTTTAAGCTTTTTAAAAAAAGCTAAAATTTCAAAGTGACTACTATAAAATTAATAAATGACAATGAAGTTTAATGTATTTAATATATATAAGATAATAAACTATAATCTTATTATATTCATGTTTAATATTTAAAGAATTTAAAGCATGTTTAACTACAATGTTTGTAATTGTAATGTTTCATTACAAATTTAAAGGAGTTATTTTGTTGTTTCTATTTAACGGATTTCTGATAGCATTATAATATTTTGTTTTTTTTTGTTTTTTATTACAATATTTATGATACAGATATAAATAATATAAAAAAAGAAAAGATAACAAGTCAAGATATTGTCTAGAAACAAAGTATGAAAATAGATATAAAGAACGCGGATACTCAATGTAAACCATCGGGTCTTGTCAGGGAGAAACAAAGTATGGAAATAGATATAAAGAACGCGGATACTCAAAGAAAACCATCAGGTCTTGTCAGAGAGAAACTAATATCGAAGAAATTAGAACGGAATGTCTTTGTTTCTGTTAAAAGGTTTTTTGCCAGCAGTTTTTAAGTAACCCAGGCAGCAATTAGTCCTAAAAAAACGTCTTTTGCGCGTTCAAAAGACGTTCAGAACGTCTTTTGAACGTTCATAAGACGTCTATTTAGGACCAAATACCGGCTGGGAAGATTTTTAGTAGCAGTTTTTTTATATTTCATTGCTGCTGCAAGTATTGCATCAACTGTTAATTTATTCAAAATATTAGTTAGAGCAACCATTTCAGGTTTCAAATTTGTTGACATGTATCAGCCATTTCAGGCCCCGCGTTGTTTATAATAATAAATTCTAATTCTAGTCATTTTAAACTCCAATCAAAATTGGTCTTTGATTTAGCTTGCGCTTGGTAAAGTTTTTACGTTAAGGCAGTGGTGGCCACAAAAAGGTCAGCGAGACATTCAGTTATATAAATTTGCGTTATTAAAAATACTCAGATTTTTACAACATTTACAAGGTATATGACGTCTATCCTATACAAGGTATATGACATCTATTCTATACAAGGTATATGACGTTTATCCTATAGAAAATATATGACGTCTATCCTATACAAGGTGTATAATGTCTATCCTATACAAGGTATATGAAGTCAATCATATATAAGATAGAAACAACAGGAGAAAACATTTTGCTGCAATTAAGAAAGTTTAAAAAAAGTTTAATTTGACTTACAACAAATTATTTTAAATTACAAAAAATTATGGCTGCTCAAAAGTATTGGCGTTGTTTCCGAATTAGAAAAAATGTCAGAGAACAAATTGTCATTAATTAAGCTGCACTGTGTTATTAATCAGTAAAATTTAACAGCAAATGGATAATGTGTGTCTTTAGTAGTTATAGCAATAAATAGCATTAAATTCAGCGCTTTACGAAGTAGGCAATTTGAGGCATTTCTCGATGAAAATAACTCTAAATATGATGGTCTGCTTTATTATACTGAGATGAGATGGCTTTCTATCGTTAATATGTTGAAAAAAACTTTTAAGTTAAAACAACAGATAATAAATTTTTTCTAAAGTATAATCAAAAATTGTCCACCAGAGATAGAAAAAAAGGAGTTAATTGAAAAGTTTACATTTCTGGTAAACCTGACCTAACATTACAATATACATAACAAAGAACTTCAACGAAAGAATTAATTAATTATAAAAATGTACAACCTTATTTTACCTCTTCAGCTAAAATTAACTTTTGGTGTTAATTTTAATTAGGGGTTAAGATAAAAAGGACAAAAAAGGACAAGGGGGGGGGGTCATCAGAATAGAACATCACGTTACACTCTCCGAACAAGAGTATGCTCCGAAGAACTTTAAAGGGTTCTAATGGTTTAGGCTGACTGGGCACCCTAAAAGTTCTAATAAGAACCTTTTTTACAGGTTCTTTACAAGAATTCTCAAGAAGAGTTCTTGGTGGAACCTTAAAGTATGGTTCTTCACTAAAACCTTATATTAAGTTTTAGCGAAGAACCTTTATGGTGCCCCGTTAGCCAAAACCATTAGAACCCTGTAAGGTTCTAATCAACCTACCATATTGCTGTGATTATTTTAGACACAATTTGAAATCAATTTTTAAAGATTGCTAAAGATGCGTCAAAAAAACTATATGGGAAAAGCATTATAAGATTTGTTTTCACGAAAAAACATTGAGTTACTATTATTAAAATATTTCGTAGAATTAATTAACACAATTAATACATAAATCAATCTTCTAAGTTTATTATTAATTTTATCGAAAAAATAATTTAGTTCATTTCATTAAAAAGTTTGTAACACGGCGTTCAGGCATTGATAAATCGTCGTTTTCACCTGACAAACCAATTAACGCATGTTGCACAAATTTTAGCGTGATTGAAATTTTTGGATGATATTTCGCATTATACAGGTTTATCAAATTTGTAAGTTATGTTATAGGCTGTAATCTATCTATTCAAAAGACTAATGTTATTACAGGCTTTGAACGGTTTTTTTCAAAACAAAAAACGAGAAATCATATCAACTTCAAAAGTTCAAAAGTGAACAAAAATGGAAATGTGCAAGAACTTATATTCATGGTATAAATATTATATTCATAAGTTATAGTACAATTTTGAGTTAACTAGACCTACTTCCCTTAATTTTTAATATCAGCACAAACATTTTGTATTTTAAAACTTTTATTTATTGAAAGGAAATTTTTTTATTTTATTTAATTTGGGTAAATTAGCACTCTCTCAATTTCTGATACATCTCTCTGGAAGTTAACTAAACTTTTCTTTTCAGATAAATCAGGTAACTCTAACTTCATTTTAGTTGAAAATATTAATATAATTTCTAACAACTCTTTATTGACTAATAACTATTTCATAAACGTTGCAGTACCATCCGGTAGTACAGACTCCATACATTTGTCTTTATTCTCTGGCTCTATAGACCCAGTTGACGCAGCTATCAAAAAGTATATTGATCATTCCAGTATAATAAACATAAAGAAAAAATTTAGTACGTGTACATATAGTTTCCAGTTCCGTCATATCACACCTGATGATATTAAAAAACTTATAGGGTCTATAAATAATAATTAAAAAGACTAGTGGTGATATACCAACTTTTATGTTAAAATCTTATATTGTTCACTTTAGGGACAGTCTTACAGATTGCATAAATAATAGTAAATTTAATTCATTTCTAAAAATGGCTGATGTTATACTATATTTTAAGAAGAATAACCCAACTGATAAGTCGAATTATCGTCCAATTAGTATTTTACCTGCTCTTTTTAAAGTTTTTTGAAACTATTTTATATGAATAAATCTTGATATCTAATGAGCCTAGATTTAATAAACATTTGTGTGGTTTCCGAAAAAGTTATAGTACTTCAGCATGCCTTTTATTCGTTACCTTATAATTGGCATGATTGTATTAACAATGGAGGTATTATTGGATCAATATTAATAGACCTCTCAAAAGCGTACGACTTTATCCCGCACGACTTACTAATTACTAAATTAGACGCCTATGGTTTTTTGAAAGAAAGTCATGGCCTTCTATAATAAGTTTGTACATTTTTGACTGTATATGCGCACTATTTTTGTTAAATTGAAAAACAATAACATCATTGCTATTAATGAAAGATTGAATTTCGGCGAACGAAAGTTCATCGTCTTTTAGAAAAACATTAAACTCGTCTGGAAAGACATTTCGAAATCCTCTTGAAGTTACAGTTTTTCTGACTTTATTCGATGGTGTTGGTAAACAACTAGGCGGAATATTTTTAAAAACAGATGGTGGGTTTAATGGTCGTTGTTTTCCATACTTGGTTTCAAAAGGTGCATCATCAGGCCAATGCAGTCGACATACTGCTGTATAGTCAGAAATAGAGAAATTTGCTCTTGGGATAACATCTCTCCATTTTTTTCTTTCCTCTGGATTTTTTGGGAATTTATATATCGATATTTTTGATTCAGTCGAGTGACAGTTTGACTTGCAGAGAGGTATGCAGCATTTTAAAGGCATCTTCTACTACTACTCAAATAACTTTATATGAGTTTAAAAATACTCAAGCCAGTGTTATGAAGTTAACTTTTACGTCTTAAAGTTGCGCTCTAACCAAACCTAACCAATCGAATTTGAAAAATCTGCTCTAAAAGCGCAAACTAAATCTTTTTTGTAAAGTTAAAAGAGGAAATGTAAACACAGTATTATAAATCGGCCTCTAGTCTGGCAACTTTATAGCGCGATGTCAAGGCCTGTTATTATAGAAGGCCATGAAGAAAGTCTTAATCTCTTGCCATCCTATATTTGCGGCCGTAAACAAAGGGTAAAAATAGGTTCTTCTGCCTCAAATTGGGTGGATATAATATCTGGAGTGCCTAAAGGGTCAGTCCTTGGACCTATTTTGTTCAATATCTTTATAAATGATTTATTTTTATTTATTAAAGATACGGAACTTTGTAATTTTGCTGATGATGAACACTATTTATGCTTGTTTTATAAGAAGGTTATTTTTCGTTTGCAAAAAGAAGCAATCAATATCTACCATTAATTGGTTTCAGTTAAACTCGATGGTTGCTAACTTAGATAAGTTTCAATTACTTTTAGTTGGCCTAATAAGACACAAAAAATCTATCGCTAAAAATAGGTAATATAAGGGTTTTTGCTTCCGATAAGGTAAAACTACTTGGCATAACAATTGATAAAGATCTAAAGTTTGGGGAACATATTAAATAGTTATGCAGTAAAGCTAATGGTAAATGTTTTGCCTAAGAAATTTGAGAATACTTATAATGGAAACTTTTAAATCTATTAATTGTCTAAATGTAATATTTATGAAAAATCTTTTTACTATAAAAAATCTTACGTATAAACTCCGTTGTAGCAAAAAATTCATTCTAATCATATATAATGATTCATGCTGAACGTTATATAGAGCCACCTTGCTCTGGAGCACTCTAAATAATGAGACCATGTCCGCAAAAATTCTTGAGGTGTTCAAAAAACATATCAAGACTTGGTATGGTAATAACTGCGTTTGCAAAATTTGTCGTTTTTAAAATTTTGTTTTATTTTAAAAAAATTGTGTTTTATTTTATATATTATTATAAATATTTTTTTTTAATTTTCTGAAACTTTTTTTTTATGAAATAATTGTAATTTTTTATGACACTTTTATGTGTGTGTGAACTGTCTATAAATGTGTTGATTTAAATTAGTTTTAGTGTTAACTAATTTAAATCAACACATTTATAGACATCTAGTAAAAATCTTTAGAAAACTTCTTTTAATAAACTTTTTAAATAAGTTAAAATAAATTAAAAATTAAAATTAAATTAAAAAATTAAGTATATTGATCCAGACGGCAAGACGAAGTTTGATGCTCGTCAACTCTTATCGAAGAATCATGAATGATTTGCCTCTTATGTGCACGCCAGCCAATATTTTACGCAAGTTGTAAAATTTTAGAATCCCGAATGTTGTTCTTTGAAAAGGAGCTGCCTATATAGCTTTCAAGCCAAGACTGGCAGACATTACAAGCAAGATTTGTTTTCCTTTTGTGTTTTTTATTATCGCCTCCAATATTCAGAGCACCATTCCTTGATCATTAAAACCATTCAAACCTCCTTTTTACGATCTGTTTTGTCCCTCTGTGCAATCAAGTTTGTCATAGAGAATCTGTAAGTATTGTAACTTGTACTTTGCCTCTAAAGTCATATTAAAAAGCCGTGCAGCCGTAGCAAGCGGTAGCGCACTTGCCTCAAAAACAAAGGATCCGTGGTTCAAACCCCACCTCTGGACAAGTTTTGCGACATCGGTTAGGAAGTAGGCGTGAACTTTCAATTAAATCCTCATCCGCGGTGCTCTGTGATAAGACTGTAAGGACTTCTTGGGGCACCTAAATAAAATCAAAAAAAAAAAAGCATGTGAGCATTACTCATTCTAATTTTATTAAGCAAAAGGCTAATACCCTTTCGCAAGTTAGACCTATTCACATTGCCGTCAAACGCAAAAGAGAGTTGATGGCCGTAATTGCGGTAGAAGAAAACACGGCCATTTCTGAAGGGTTCGATGAGGACAAAATCGAAATGAAGGGCTTTTAATATTTCAAATTTCAGACGAATCGTACTGCCCTATCCTAATCATATTAATTGACAATTATTTAAAAAATCCTTGAATGGACAAAGAGTGAGGAATGTTCCCATGACACGCTTTGATTAAATTTAATACATAGAATAAGATTATTATACAAAAATTTTTTATCAGAGAGGCCTACAAGAACAATCAACTGAAACAAACGTGGAAATATCCATAAACTACCCAGTGAAAAATAAAACGGCGTCCCACATGGGTTCCATGTGGGTTCCGTGTGGGATTCATGGGATTTATATGGGACGGGTTTTCCCATGTGGTATCCGTATGGAAATTTGCCACTTAAAACCCATATGGGTAAATCCCACATGGATTACATGTGGTATTTACCCACATGGGATTTTCCCATGTGGTATCCGTATGAAACTTTGCCACTTCAAACCCATATGGGTAATCCTACATGGGTTACATGTGGTATTTACCCACATGGGAAATCCCACGTGGGTTTCTTGTGGGATTTACACAGGATTTTATTTGAAACTAAAATAATCTTAAATGTTAAAAACAACATTACATTACTTTCGCGGAAGTTACATGCATCTTGTTTTAGCATAAAAATATCTTAAATTAATCTTAAAAAATGGCAAGCAAGTATGCAAGGAATCGAGTGTAGGGGAGAATTACACTTATTGTTTTATGAAAGAACCTACATTTCCATCCCGCAATAATTTTAAAATTCGTGATTCTCTTACTTAAAATCGTATATGTAAATAACATGCGATGATGAAATTTGACAGACGTTTTCAACTTTGAAATTTAAAGATTTTATAGATTAAATAAATAGAATAGATTAAAAAATTTTATTGGTTAAAAATTGCGGATTTTTTATAATACTAAAATACCTATATTTTACAATAAAATTAATTTTAGATGTAAAATTACGCAAAATATATTGTTACTGAGTATTTGCCGTTCAAAATCTCAATACATTCGCAAGGTTTATGCGTTTCGTTATTTTGAACATTTTTTCTGAATATTATAAAATAGTTAAAGCAAGTGGTGGTGCTGCCAGAAAATGAATAAAAAATCATTTTTAAAAACAAGTTTCATTCGCCTCAAAATTATGTTTGATCACCGCAATGAAGTTTCCCAAAAGCAGGCTGCTAGCCAATATGAATGAAGCACAGTCCTGAAAACTCGTAATACTCTTTAAAAATAACCTGGCGTTAAAAAGATTTTAACAAAAAAAAAAAAAAAAAAAAAGGGGGACCAAAATCAAGATCAAAATCGGTTAAAGAAAATAATAAATATTATAAATAATAAGCTTGTGACTAAATTTTTTCTGTTTTTACTTTCTGTCTTAGTCTTAAATTAGAGAAACATCGATTTTTAGAAAATTAGAGAAAAGTTTCGATTTTAATTTGTTAAAGTATTTTTAAATAACTCAGTTTGTTGAAAAGGGCGAAGAAAAAAGGGGAGAGTTAGATGATAAAAAATATATGTGTCAAAAGAGTATATAAAACTTTTTATGTTGTGTTAAAAGATTCTCTCTAAAGAAATGGAATATTTCAAACCTATCTTACATATTTAATCGCGGAGGTTGTAAGGACCCATTTTAAGGTCAATTTTTTTCAAACTATTTGCTGAATAATAGTATCGATATAGTATAGATCACTTTTTTATTCACCTTATTGCGCTTACATATTATTTTATAATAAAAAAAAATCCCATTTTAATTTTTTTTTTATAATTATTTCATAATCAGTTCCTATACTTTGTCATTGCATTGTTTTTTAATTAATGTATAAATAATATTACGAAATACGAAAGACGACTCGACGTAGTCTTTTTTTAAATAGTAAATAAATCATCCATCTAATAAACCAAATAAAAAAAATAGTAATTTAAAACAATAAGCAAAAGTTAAATACAAAATTTGAGAGTTACTCATTACCATTTAAACTCATTTATTATAGAAAGTTATCACTTACAACTGATAATAATGGTCATATTCATCAACATTGATGAAAATAATAAACAGTTTGAAAAACAAAGAAAACAAAAAATACATTACTTCTTAAGGTACTTTTCCATTTCAATGATTGGTGGTATGTGCAATTATTTTTTAAAACTCCATTTATACTGTCAAATATTTTTAATCCAAATATATATAGTCGATAATTCTCTTTCAAGAAATTTGCTTTCTATGTCATTTAATGTTTTTTGAACATTTGTGGCTATGAAAATAGCCGTTTTTAAAATACTTTTTCTTTGGCATTGAAAATTATCACTTACGTCTGCGTCTTTGATAGAAATTGCACATTCGCAATGGTACCACTGTGGACACTGCACCCAATCTTTCTTTTTAAAGTCTGCGTTATGGCAAATCTATAATGATAGAAAAATAAGACTATTCTGCATCACATATCAGTACTAATATATCTGAATACACAATATACCTATAAGAACATAGATATCTCAATTTTACAATTTTCATTTCTCAATAATGTTTTTTAGATTTTAGGGCAAATAATGAACAACTAAAATGCTAACATCAAAGCAAAAATTTTCATTTGTAATTCGGATTGAATTGTAAAAAAATGTTCACTTACCCAACAAACATCATACAACTTTTCAAAACCACTTTGAAGGTTCTTCAAACACCCACCACATAAATGTAAAATGTGTTTACGGAATTTTACTTTATTAAAAGGATCATTAAGATTTCCTACAAATCATAAGAACTTTGTTATTTTATTAACAGATGTGGAATAATTCATAAGTAATAAAAAAACTAACAATATAAGTTTTTTCTGCATAAGTAAATAATAGAAGACATGTAATACTAAACAATGAATCAAATAAATGCCAATAAAAAATTAAGTAATTTATTGTCAGTAAAAAATTAATAATTATGCTATTATTAATCAAAAGGTTTCATAAGTTTTTTTTTTAATGTAAAATAATAATTTTTTTTTTTTTTTTTGATACAATAGAGAAACAATGATAAATAGATATATAAACAGATATACCAAAACCAATGTCCCCACACTGCTGGATTTGTCACCAACATAAATAATAAACTATACCTTCGCACAGCTGTAATGAATAGTAACATACATAAACACCACAGTTGTAATTATCTCTTTGCAATAATTTTGTGTTGAAATAACATGTGGCTTTAATACGTTGAACTTGCGCCTAAAAATTTCTTTTGCAACTGCAATTGACTTATCATAAGATGAATTATTGGATAAAATATTTAAAGGGCATTTCCATTTCTGTACGTGATTTTTTATTTTTCTTTGTTTTAGCAATTAAAAGCGGGGACTTTATGCAATATGCATACTATTTTGATTTTCTTAAAGAACAATTATAACTAAAGTATTTTTATCATATTTTAGGCTATCTGAATAAATTAAATATACACATTTTTACAACTTTAATTTTTTGAATAATAATATCGCTACATTTTGAAAAATATACAATAATTTTCAAAACGCCATACTCTAGCCAGAAATAATTGATGACTGCCGTTTCTCATCGAAAATATATTAAATATGAGTCGCAGAAGTATAATATTTCACTTGAAATACTCACTAGCAATTTATTTTCATAAAAATAACTACATGAAATTGACAAATTTGCAACATCCGTGCATGACTTCTGTGCGTGATCATTCATAAACTGCATTTAAATGATTGCTGTGACTCTATGATTCGTAGTGCAATCCTGTAACTTTCTGGAAATCTTTACTAATGTTTAAAATATCATTTAAAAAAAAAAGTATACCGGTGAAACTTATTGTCCGAGGAATTAAGTAGTAACTAAAATAGAAGTTTTTCTATTCCGTGCGTATTCTATTTCAAACTTTATTTATTCTTTGTTAACATTACTAATTCTTACTATTTTTTGTTTACAAAATATTTATATTGATTAGAATTAAATGAGAGTAAATTGGAGATCGCTAGTTTTATTTTTATGAAAATAAAAGTAAAAACATATACGAGTTTCCGTGCATGATTTTTTGGAAATGCCCTAAAGATAGTGAATCAAGAATAGCTATTTCTTCTGTTATTACTTTAAGATGTAATAAAATCCAATGGGAATTAGTTGGATTAAATGGAATAAGAACTAGATCTATATTTTCAGCGACAACATCTTTCTACAAAAGCTTTATACTTCTTGAATAACTTATTGCTAATGCTTCTGTTGGCCCACAATACTTCATAAAAGGATACTTTTTTTCTAGACAATGCAGGAAGCTTCCAATAACTTTATCTTGAAGTTAGCCCTTTTGAAATTGAAGATTGTTCTTTTGCAATATTTGCACTCTGAATAAACTGTGTTTTCGAGCGTCAAGAGAGAAATAAGAGAAAGTTGGTGCATAAAATGTATGCATAAATTATGTATGCATAAATTACCATCTCTATAAAAAAATTAGGTAATATTTAAACAGATATACAAACTCATAAACACAAAAAGTGGAATTATAGCCTCCTCATAGGACTAACCTAACAAGAGTACTAGTAAAGTCACTAGTTTTGATGCCATCACATATTGTTTGATTTTCTACTTTGTGTATTAAGTTAATATTTTCCTGACACATCTTCATAACTATTTTCTCTTTTTGGTGCTGTTCAGGATTTTTCTTTTGCTTTTATCTTTCCTTGTTTTTCTTAATTGATTAGGCTGCCATTGACAATCTAATTTCTTATTTAGTGCAAAATTTAATGGTCAAGTTTGCAATGTTGCCTTTATAGATATGTCAGATGAATTTATACCTTTAATGGCTTTAGCTTTCCTAATCATATCTTCTAATTGTCTGTTTATTGATGGAAGTTGAAGGCTTACTCCATTTGGATTAGTTACTAAAAAGCATAATTCATCATTTTTTTTAAACCTGTCAGCCGCGTTATGAAGAGTTTGTGGCTTTTTTATTAACTGAACTTCCTCTGAAAAAACAGCTAATGAGGATTCTTTCAAGTTTTTTTTTTTACTTTTCAGAATGAATGATTGTAACTTGTGAATATGCTTACAAGGATTAACGTTATCATTGCAACTACAGTTGTATAAATGCTCACACAAACCATTACAGGCCGGATTTATACATAATTGTGAACAAAAACTTTCTTTACAGATATCTTGCAAAATGTCGACTTTATATGTTATGTCTTTTGATTGACTTCTCACAGTGTACTCTGTTGATGAGCATTTAAAAACACAGATATCTGAAATCAGCATCCCTTTTTCATGACGTTTTTTATATTTTTTAGGGAGAGATATAGTTCCTAGAAAAATGTTGTCTCTTTTGTGTCTCCAATAATCATCTTCCTCAATTTGTAAAAGTAATTTAATCAAATCATCTAACCTTTTATTGGGTCTTCTATCCATATAGACTGTCTTCAATTTGTTATGAAACGACTCAAGCAACATATTAGTGTCAGTATCCGCATGATGAAAGTTGCAATAACAAGAAGAGAGTAATTTACAAAATTAGGACATGTCTTTTCATATCCCTTGACAAAACCTTTCATAATTGATGTAACAATCATAGGATCTTTTTCATCAATCATTGTCTCTAAAATCTGGTAAATTTCTTCTTGCATATAAGCAGGACCAACCAACTAAAGGAAGTTTAGCACGCCATGCACGTTTCACATGCCATTTGCATAGCAAGTGACGTGTATCTCCAAAGACTTTGGAAAAAGCATTCCAGCTGGAGCAATCATCGTCTGTCATAACAGCATTAACGTTTACTGGATTGGTACATCTATTCTTTATTTCCTCCAAAAATGGTTTTATAGTTTGTTCATTAGAATGATTTAAAATAAAAAAAGCTACTGGATAGCCCCTTTTAAAATCATCACACACAAGCAAAGTTACTAGAGGAAATGCATATTGATTAGTGCTATGAGTTGAATCAATACAAACAATTTGTGACACACGCTTTTCAAACATTGCCAGCTGCTGCTTTGTTTGTAATGCAATAACAAAATAATTCTTGTTGAGATCAAGATCATCATACACTTTAGGCCCAAAAAATAGTTTGTTGTCCTTGTGGTTTATATACAAGAATACTATTGAACTCTTCACACATTAATTTTTGAACTAGTAAATATGTTGAAGTATTATCATCAGGGTGAAGTCGACATCCCTTTTTCATGACTCTGTTGATATCAGAAATGTTTTTTTTTTGTAAGAAGATTGGATTTTGTGAGAACAAGATTATCTTTATTAACTCTATTTTCTCTTTCTCCGAAACTTTCCCTAAGATCATGATAGACTTGATTTACCGGTACCCCAATAGATAACTTAAGAGAAATATATATTTTTTTACATTATATGGTACATGGTATTACTAACAGCAACAGTATGATTGCGAGTTTTTATGTAATGCACATTTGTTGTTTCATTTTTACTTATGTTAACAATCATTCTAGCAGGACAGAATGCATTCGACTTAACGCTACCTCTGAAGTATCTTTTATTTGTTTTGTTTTTTTATGTTTCTGTTGCAGATCGATGTGGCTTTGCATGACTATCAATTTGACAAATAAAATAACTTGTTTTTGTTTTTTTGCTGTTTACTTCCAGTTTGTTTACACATTAATTTTTGAACTAGTAAATATGTTGAAGTATTATCATCAGGGTGAAGTCGACATCCCTTTTTCATGACTCTGTTGATATCAGATTTTAGAAGTATACGTAACTATTAATTTCTTCTTTTTTGTTCCAAGAATTCTGTTTCTGAAGAAAACTCATAGTTTTCTGTGGAGAACACACCTTTATGATACTCCTCTATGTGCTTAATTAATTTCAATTTTTGAAAATACTTGGCTGCAGTTTTGATAATAACAAGGAGTTCTTTTTTCTTCTACACTGCTTGTCAGCAAACTTAGTATTATGCATAAGCAGCATATGCCTTTTAAAACTTTTCTTGTAAACATCCTCATGCAAAAGGAGCACGGAAAACTTAAAAATAAAATTTTCATTAAAGTATATTCAAAATATATATATTAAAGACATGTGCATTAAAATATTTCACCGAGGTGATTTCCTCAAGCTTAGATGGCCATCAGATAAAATAGTTAAAGGATCAAACAAAGATGCTATATTAAAAAAAAGATAATTTAATATTATCAAATAAATTGAACAATCAAATGTTTTAGTAGGACAATGTCTGATGCCCGACTGTTATATTGAGCCCAATATCTAAAGAGGAAGATTTTTTCTCACAAGTAATAATTGCATTAGGGGGAAACTTACACATTCAATAAAACTTCATAAAGAGAAAGACTTTGTCTTATAATAAATAATTTTTATTAGGGGAGACTTACACATTTATAAAAAGTTAACAAAGAGAAAGATTTTTTCTCACAAGTGATAACTGCATTAGGGGGAGATTTACACATTCGAAAAAAACTTCATAAAGAAAAAGACTTTGTCTTATAATAAATAATTTTTATTAGGGGAGACTTACACAATAATAAAAATTAACAAAGAGAAAGATTTTGTTGCACAAGTAATAATTTCATTAAGGGGAGACTTACACATTTGAAAAAACTTCACAAAGAGTAGAACTTTGTCTCACAAGAAATAATTTTTATTAGAGGCGACTTTAAGAGATGAACTCACAAAAAAGAATAAGCTTATTTTATAACTAAATTAAAGAAGAACTGATGAATAATTTTCCCTTTCTACTTCTGCATTTAATTCTGCATCAATTTTGCTATCACTTGAAGACATTTCAATTTGGTTTTAGGTTTTTAACTGTCTAGCATAAGAATAATTTTGCGCAATTTTGAAGTGGGTTAAAATATGGGCTAATATTTTTGCGTGTGTAATTCTCCCCTACGTAAAATTTGTATGTAAGTACTACAAACATTTTGTATCTCTCTTTATCGAATTAAGAGTTTTTGTGCAAATAAAAGTATTATTATGATGGCATAATAGTTGTTTTAATATCAGTATATATAGTAAAAGAAATAACTTTAAAACTCACATAATTTCCCTTTTTCTTTAATGAAAATGAAGAGAAAAAAAGAAACGAAAGGGATTCGGTAACTTTTTAGGCTTAAAAACTCTTAATTTAAGATTTCATGTTTCACCATCAGTAGGTTCATCAGAAAGCTTCAAGATGAACCGATGGTGAAACATGCTGTTGGAGAGCACAAAAATTAGATGTGTTTTTACTAAATTATTATTGCTCTGTTTTTTAAGAACATTGAGCACTCTATTTGAAGAATACACTAACATTATATATATATATATATATATATATGTGTATATATATATATATATATATATATATATATATATATATATATATATATATATATATATATATATATATATTTAGTATTAGTATTAAATTGTATTTGTTATATTAATTACAATTACAATTAAAGTTACACAGTACAGATATGAACCGTAAGTTCATCATTAGCTAGCAAGCTAGCTCGTATAGCTGTGATAATACAGCCACGGAAAATGATGCACTGTGGTAACTATGTGAGTTGCTGGTCTAATTTTTTTTTGAAACTGTCAATAGTAAAGGCGTTGACAACATCATCCATCAGAGCATTCCAAGTATTTGTAACCCGATTGTTGAAAAAGTCGAACGAGGCAGTTGCTATTATTTTCGCAATGAAAGCGTTTGTGATGACCATAGATGGTAGGAATGTATATTAGGGCATATTTGGTATCAAAAGATAGGTGTAAAAAAGGGCTATAATTTTCAATTCAATTTTAGGTCAAGGGCGCATCCAGGGATCCGGAGGAGGGCTAAACCACCACCTACACCTCACAAAAACACACTTTTTTTCATAAAAAAGTGTTTTTCTTTTAAAATTACAAATATCTATATACAAAAAATTGTTATTATTTTATTCCACATCACTAGTGAATATACAAGTCTATCTCAAAGTCGGGTTTTGGGTTTTGAATAAGGTTTAACACACCATATCAAAATTTCATTCTTTTAAATATTTCAATCTTTACTAAAACAATTAATTTCAGTATAAAAAATAAAAATTTATTTTGATACTTGGAAAAATAGTAACTAGTGGTGTATAAATTGACTTCATGAAAGGGGGTGTAAGCCGCCCCCCTTCCGCCCAATACGTAAAAAAAAGTTTTAATGAGAATTAACAAAATATGTTTAAAAATGCTTTTTAAACACTATAAAACACTATTTTACCACGTTACAGTGGTGTATAAATTGCCTTCATGAAAGGGGGTGGAAGCCACCCTCTTCCGCCCAATACCTTAAAAAAAAGTTTTAATTAGAATTTAACAAAAAAAGTTTAAAAATGCTTTTTAAACACATATAAAATAGTATAAAAAACTGTTTTACCATGTTACAAGACTACAAATAGATACAGAAAGTTTTGTGGCTTGCAAACAAGTACAACAAGTTTTGTGGCTTGCCATTAGGTAAAGCAAGTTTGTTGTTGAACTCCAACCTAAACAAAAACACAAAGCAGCAAGTCTTTTGAAATAAAAAAAGTAATTAACCATTGTCTTGGCTTTTAGTAAATGATTGATTTTTTAATTGCCACAATACTTGTTTTACCTAATGGCAAGCCACAAAACTTGCTGTTCTTGTTTGCAAGCCACAAAACCTGTTGTACCTATTTGCAATCCACAAACCTTAAAGTACTTGTTTGCAAGCCACAAAACTTGTAGAACTTTTTTTTCAAGCATTTTTACAATATTTCATATTCAAACTAAGAAAATATTAACTCATCTAATACAACATCAGCAGCTAGCTGGATTTTTTTCACCTTATGCTCAACAGCTTCAATATCAGTTTTATCTTGTTTCCAGTAAGAAATAGTGTAAATTCTATCATTTTGTCTTTTGCTTACTTTTTCTAGTCTACCATCATAAATGATAGACTTTGATGAGTCAGAATCATACCATTCATGACAGAGTTTTCTGCCAAAAATTCTTTCAGACATCACATCATCTAAATCTTTAAGTTGTTTTGCAGATAAGTGTTTGTATAAATTCATCTTTTCACTGATAGTTAAGATTTCAAAGCATTATGAAACATTTTATATAAACCCTTACAAAAAAAAAAAAAAAATTAAAAACTTTTATTTAGAATTTGCTTAATTAAAATAAAATACTTTTATAAAATATAAATAAGCATTAAAGTTTTTCAAAAACGAAGAACAATCATAAAGTAATATTTTAATTTATACATTAACCTGCAGAAGATTGTACTGCAGGAACTTAAACTTAAAAAATGATGTAAACAACAAAAATCAAATGAAATTGGGATTAAATCTATAGTATAATTTTAATGAGATAGACTATGCACTGCTAACAAAGAAATAGTTTTTAACATACTAACCAAAGCAGATGTAGATGCAGCTAAAAATCAAAAAAAAAAAATGTAATTAACAAAATAAATGACTTTTTTAGAAAAATCAAAACACTGCTGAAAAATAATTAGTTTTTAAACTTACTATTTGTGAAAAGGATGTACTCAACCAAACAAATGTTTGATTTAGGCATTAAATTATTACAGAGATTAAAAAGTAATAGCTTTTAAACTTAGTAACAGTGGCAGATATAGATTAGAAAAAAGGTGTAACTAAGTAAAAAAGTATTAGAAATTGGCCTTACATACACATTTTACATACAAAGTGAACAAAGAAATAGCTTTTAAACTTTCTAAATGTGGTAGATGTTGATGAAACTAAAAGTAAAACAAAGCTGTAATCAAAAAGAAAATTGAATTTGATATTAAATCTATAGTATAGCCATAACAAAAGAAATGATATCGACATCCACAGCAGGTGTCGATAAAGCTTAATGTAAAAAAGGTGTAATTAATAGCAAAAAAGAAGGATGTAGATGCAACTAATATCACGAAAAGATGCAATATAAAAATAAACAAAAAAAGTTGAAAATAGGATTAAATCAATACACTGCTGAAAAAGAATTGACTCTTAAATTAAACTTACCAACTGTTTCAGATGTAGATGGAACTAAAAACAAAATGGATGCTATCCACAAAAAAAAAGATATTGGCAATAAATCTTTCACAAAGTCAAAAAATAATAGCTTTTAAATTTACTAATCACAGTTGTTTAAGAAATGACTTGAGATAAAAAACATATGAATTAAACCAAAGCATACATTTTTAAATTTCTACTTATATAAACATGACCGAAATTGCAATATACAAACTTACCAGTGGAAGGCTGAGTTGATTGGACTAAAATTAAGAAAACTGTATATCAAAATAAAAAAAACACCTTAATTTTGACAACAGTAAGTGAATAAGTAACAACAATCAAACAAGTTCTGCATAATGTGCAACAACTTTATTGATAAAGTATAGAATGAAAACATAATTACACAAGTAAACATTAAGAAAGGTTGTATAATGATTTAAACAATAAAAGAAAGATTATAAAAAAGATATCTTTTGTATTAAAAAACTTTAAAGGCATCAAAATGTTTATTTTTTTATGAATAACATTAAAATTTATATTGTTCATGTCATCCCTATATGTCACTATTATCTATCATATCTATACATCTATACATCACTATCATATCTATACATCTATACATCACTATCATATCTATACACCTATACATTACTATCATATCTATACACCTATACATCACTATCATATCATATCATATCTATACACTACTATCATATCACTATACATCACTATCATATATCACTTACGGAATCTCAAAAACTGATGAAATAGTAAGCCTGCATCTAAACAAGAAGGAAACATTAGAAATGTTTGTGTAATGATTTAAACAATAATCAAAAGACTAAGTATTATACAATAGATAAATCATAAAAGATTAACATACCAAATGTTCTCAATGTAGATAAAGCATAAGGTAAAAAAAATGTAAAGAACAAAACATACATAGTTTTTGCCAACAAATCTATACATAGTTGTAGGTATGTGGATTGAAAATTTTAAATTGATCAAAGGTTAGATTGTTATATATCATTAGAAAGTGCTTCAATACAGTATTTTAAAGGTGAAAAAATTATTAAAATCGGACTATTGTACAAAAAGTTATGACGTTTTTAGTCGCAAATTTTTGATATATGGATTTGTTGAAGAAACTGTGGTCAAAATTTAATTTTTCTTTACTGAAATTAATATAACTTTGTCAATTCTTGTCTAAATACCTATAACTTAGTATCAAAAGATAGGTGTAACTGTGGGCTACAAATTTATAACATCGTCCATCTATTGGGCGTTTCCTGGGGGCTAGAGGGGGTGCCGAACCACCACCTTTACCCTAAAAATAAGCATATTTCTTTCAATAAAAAGTTTTTTTTTTCAACAAACGGTTATTTTTTTTATACAAAAAATTGCTATAATTTTATTCCAGACCGTCAATGATTGATGTTTATTAAAGTTGGTGGTGGATATGGTGGTGATGGTTTAACACACCCTAATTTCAAAAATATTTAATTCTCTAATTATAAATAAATATTTCTATATTTAATAAAATAAGCGAAACTAGTACACAGTATAAAAAACATAAAAAATTTTTTTGCTACAAGAATTTCATTTATTGGTGGTGTGCTTATTGACTTGTGGGAGGGGCGTGTGCTCCCCCCCTCCAACCTAAAAAAATAAATAAGTAAAATAAATCAATCTTTATAATAACAACTATAATTATTTTAAAATGAGTTAACAATTTAAAACCTGACAATGAGTTAACAATTTAAAATAAGTTAACAATTTAAAACCTGAATTAGGCTTTTTGCACCAAGTATAATCTACAAGCTAAAGATAAAGACCACAACCGAGCCTACTTTTGAAAAAAAAGTCTTTTCGCTGCTATTCGTAAATTTTGGTTAAGTTGAGAAGTTTGTTAAATAGAGTGGTAATGGTTACCCACAACCTACAATAAAAAGATGTTGAATTCTTAAAAATAATTGTATCTTTAACAAACAAAATAAATTAGTATATTTCATTTTTTGATATTTCATTAAATATATTTTATTTCATTACCAAAAATATCAGTGTTGTATCCTATAAAAAAATGTAACAATCAATTTTATTGTTCTGTATTAAAACATTTTAGATATCCTAAGTTTAAATAGTTGTCTTAGCTTTTAGTAAATAATTAAGATAGTCAATTTCATAAATGGAACACTATAATAATCATTTGTAACAATAGACACCAAGTGAGGATAAGCCAGAGCTGCCTATCAAAATATTTTGCAAGTCACAACACTTGTGCAAAGGTCATTGCAAGTCAAATACTTTTATTCTTTTCTAAAAACATTTATAAAAAAAAGTAAAACAAAAACATATGGTTTAATACCAGGCATACCTGACTTGATATGACTACTTCAAGTTTTATTACTTACAATACCTTTATACAAGTTTCATCATATGCCGTATCTGTTTTGTAAGTTTTATCACTTGCAGTATCTATTTTTAAAGCTTCATTACAAGTAATATCATAAGTTGTTACATATTACACTTCAAAAAATTTTTTCATGTTGTAGTCAACAGCGTCAGTATCAGTATTACATTTATTCCAGTAAGAAATTGTGTAAACTTTGTCTTGTTTTGTTTTATCAAGTTTTTTTATTCTCTACCATCATTCATGTCATACTTTGAATACTTACTATTGTACCATTCATGGCAAAGTTTTTGCCCAACAATTCTATCTGACATTACATCATCTTAGTCATGAAGTTGTATTTACAATGTATTTAAACACTTTATTTCATTGTAAAAGAGTTCAAGCAACTGTCATTTTAACTTTCTTTTGTCTTTTTCATCCATTTTTTGGCATTTGCATACATATTTTTTTGAAATATCTACTCATATATCATTATGCTTCATTTGATTTATCATCTCTTTTTATGGGTTTCTGAATAGACCACATAACAATATTTTTATAGGTTTCTGAATAGACCACATAACTATACTTTTATGGGTTTCTGAATCAACCACATAACTACATTTTTATGGGTTTCTGAATCCATCACATAACAATATTTTCTCTAGATAATTGATCTAAACTATCTAGGTAATTTAATTTGTATGAAACATAACAAACTGTTGCATTAGGTGATTTTTCTTCAGCCTCACTAAACATTCCCATTAACTCTTCACTATTTATATCGTGAAGCCTTGCACATGCTACTTCCTCCTTGAGAGTCTGGTTAATAGAAAGTGAGAAATATCTCTTACATTGATGAGTTATGACATCTCCCACTGCAATAAGACAAGCAAAAGTCATATTGATAAAGTGTTCATCAATCAACCAAAACATTTTTTATTGGATCTAAAATATTTGGTTCAAGGTCATTTTCAAAAATGAACCTGGTTTTGATTTAGAATCTGCAATTTTTAGTAAAATATTTTTTAATACCAGGATTCCACTATAATGGTCAAAATTTGCCTCCTCAACAGTCACACAAAACTTTGCCATCCAGGCTGGAAACTGGATGACAAAGTTTTATTTAACTTTGAGGAGGTGGTTTTCCAAATAATGCAAGAACACACTTTTTCTTTAGAGCTGTTTTGTTACAAAATACAGCTCAAAGAACTTTTTTTATAGTTCTGCATAATAATGTTAAATGGTTAAAAAATGCTTAAACTCTTTTAATTTTTAATAAAAATAAAACAAGTATGAAAAAAAATATGAAGACGATTTCCTAGATACCTTGGAATGATACCTCGTGGTAGTTTTTGATCAGCTAAAAACTAACAAATCTTTTTAAATCACCTTTGCCATGTTTAAACCTCAACTTGTTCATAGCCAAAACTATTTTAAATGCCATACAATCATACCCAGCCATGAGGTAGCAATTATATCAAGAGCGTGTAAATGACAGTTTAGCTCATTCAAACTTTCCCCTTGAATGTCACACAGTTTGCTTATGGTAAGATGGTTAGTTGCAACTTTGCCTGACATTGCGTTTGATATATTTGAGATGATCGATTGATCACTATCATTAAAAGATGCTAAATGAAAATATAAATAAAAGTTAGATGATCAACTGCTTTACATATATGCAAGCAAATATTCGTAACTAGCTATAAGCATTTTATTTGCCTTAATATTATATACAACTTTAACTTATTTTAGCTTTTAAAGTTCTGAAATTTTCATTGCCTTTTTTTTAAGCTTTAAGATTGTATATTATCTTACTGTAATAATATGTTTGCAAATTTTGTTTAAGATCTCTAAGTTCAGCTCTTAAAACTTTAACAATTTGTTTCTTTTATGTAATTTTTGTCTCAGTACTTTCAACTTGTATGCCATGCTTTTTAATTTTGCTGTCACTATTACTAATTTTTTTCAATACTTGCTGGATGTAACAGCAAGCTGAGAAGTTAAAAAGGACAATCTGGTATTCAAACCTTTTTTTTCTAGGGCTTATTTCTCCTCTTGATTCATGCCTATTCATTGTTAACAGAATGTTTGGAAAATAAAGGCTTGTGATTTAGTGGTGATAAATTACTTATGTGCTCAAGTGGTGAATTATCTAAACTACTTAAAACAGTAGTAAGAGAACTACTTGGAGGGACATGATGATAGAAAGACTGGCAAGATTTGTGCAATGCATACACAGGGTTCATTACAAAATTCCTTAAAACGAATACTATCCCTTGTAAGGTTGCAAAACTAACTTTTGCATCTTTTCAAAACCCTAAAGAAATGTGGTTTACAAATGTTTAAACTAAATAATAGTTATAACAAATGACTTAACACTGTTAATGAATAAAAAAGGTACATATCTATTTTTACAACAACTGCAAGTTTTGGCCGGTAAAAAGAAGTGTGTGTTTAAATACTCTTTAACTGTACTAAGAACAAAAATTAAAGTTGCTTTTTGTGCCTATTGCCGGGGCACAAAAAGCAACTTTATTTACAAAAAAAAATGTAAAGAAAGTCTTGAATAACTACCGAATAATAATATAACATTAAATTATAAACAATATTATACTTTTATTATTAAAAACATTTTTAATAATACTGTATTATTGCGTAATTAAAAAATACTATTTATACACACAGACAAAAATGCTAATGTATACTGACATCATAAAACATGTGATAATATAAAGAAAATTTAAAAGATACATTGCAAATGTTTACATAAAAAAGGAAAACTGTTTTTAAAATACCATCATACCTATAGGTAGAATTATAGTAATCAACGCTTATGTTTTCAATTTCAATGAAACCAATAAAATTTTAGAAACTATAAACAAGTCACACTAAAATAAATAGTAATTTCACTTTTAAAATAAAATAAACTAGTAAAATTATACAAACTAATATTAATTAATATAAAAAATCTAAAAAACTACTGAAAAAATAAGAAAAAGAAAAAAACATCTTATTGGCAGTCTATATCTAATTGTATTAATATATATATATATATATATATATATATATATATATATATATATATATATATATTTATATATATATATATATTATATATACATATATATATATGTATATATATATATATATATATATATATATATATATATATATATATATATATATATATATATTATATATACATATATATATATATATATATATATATATATATTATATATATATATATATATACTATTATTATATATATATATATGTAATATATATATATATATATATATATATATATATATATATATATATATATATATATATATATATATATATATATATATATATATATATATATATATATATTATACATATAGCATAAATAATTACTAAACTAACCAAATAAAATTAAACTTGTTCGTACCCCTCTTACCACCCACTTACGGAAATCAGAAAAACAGAAATGAGGTACCAAAACTGCTCACTTTTATAGACTATCTGCTCAATAATATTTTTCAATGAAATTTGGTAGGTAGATAAAAAATATATGTAAAAAACTATCTGGGTAGGTTTGCAAACTATCTGAGCATTTCTTTGACAATAATTTAATGTGAGAACAACAACCAAGTTTTTAATACAAATAAAAGCAATACAAAAATTACCAACCACACATAAATGTTATATATTAATCAAGTTTAACTATTCTTTTTTTCAAAAATAATCTAAGTTTAGTAATGTTTCTTAACAGAAACGCCACAAAAAAACGTTCGCCTGACGATACCTAAAAAAAAGTTCAAAAAACCTGGCACAAAATTTTAGTACAAAATTCGGTACCGTAAAACACGGATTTCCGCGTACCTAATAGTTGTTTTTTAAAAAAAGTTTTCAAACTTACCAACCATAGCAGATGGTGACAAAGCCAAAGGTAAAAAAATTAACCAAAATAACTTTGATTTCGACATTAACTTTATACCGATCTGAAAAAATTTGCCACTGGCAGATGTTGATAAAACTAAAAGAAAAATAAGGTGTCATCAAATAAAATAAAAAAGGTATTAAACTAATAGTATGGCTTTAAAGAATAAGTTGACCTAATAAAAAAATACTTATTTAACTTACCAACTGCATCAGATGACAATTAAGCTAAAGTTAAAAAAGGTGTAATATATAAAAAAAATACACATTTTTGGCAACAAATCCGGCGCTACTCGACTTTCTCCCCCCTCCCTGTTTTTATGATTGATTTTTATAGAGTATATTATACTGATTCTAAATCATATAAAAACATAGGTCTGAAAACTTGAGGAAAGTACTCTAAACTGATGTTAAAGTATAAAAATCCACATTAAAAAACGCTAATATTCCACCATCTTTTTAAAAACATTTTAACACTGTTTTTAAAATTTAGGTACAATTAATTAATTAGGTGTAATTAATTTTTTAACTAACAACCCGGTTTTTATTGTTGTTTTTATATTTTATGATGTACATACATCGACTGACATATAGAAATTGGCGCAACTAAATGTACATGCATCGACTGACAAATAGGAATTGGCGCAACTAAATGTACATGTATCGACTGACAAATAGGAATTGGCGCGATTAAATATACATACATCGACTGACAAATAGGAATTGGCGTAAATAAATGTACATATCTACTGACAAATAGGAATTGGCGCAATTAAATGTACATGATTTTGGTCAGGGTTTGGTTGGGGCAGGAAATCAATAAAAAATGCGTTTTAAATTGAAGCGTCGATAGAAACCAGGGTTTTTCAAAGTTTTTATTGAAAAAGAATTTTATTATAACCGAGTATGACAAAGATGGCTAATATTAGCGTTTTTAATGTGGATTTTTATACTTTAGCATCAAATTAGAGTACTTTCCTCAAGTTTTCAGACCTATGTTTTTATATGATTTAGAATCAGTATAATATACTCTATAAAAATCAATCATAAAAACAGGGGGGGGGGGGAGAAAGTCGAGTAGCGCCACAAATCCAATAAAACAATTTTGTAAAGAGCAAAGAAAAGTACTGTGTAAATAAAAAATAAAATAAAGGCGTAAATAACGAAAATTAGGGGTTACTTAAAAAAAGTATTGAATAGGTTTTATCTAGTCAATGATTTTTAAAAGTTTAACAAAAAAATACTTGTAAAAGTAATAAACAATAGTATTATTATGAAAAAACATATGAACTCACTATCTGTTTGATTACCTAGTTCATTTATATTATTCATTTTTTTAATTACTAACAATCTAAGTGAAACAATATGCAATAAAAATTTTTAAAGAAAAAAAAAAACTCTCTCCCCCTCAGCCACACCTCGGCTCTTTTTGAAAGCAGAAATTAGGTACCAAAAGTGTTTAACTGAATTAACTAATTGCTACATAATATTTTTTCATGAAATTTGGCAGGTGCAAAGGAAATGCATGTAGAAACTTATTTAAAAAACCAAAAAAGCGGAATATAGATTCCTTCAACAATAATTTAACAAGCAAACATCAACATAATTTTCATGAGCAAAATAGTCAAAAAAAAGGTATGACAATCATGTAAAAAAAATAACACAAAAAACAAGCCTAACTCTTCTTCTTTCTGAAAATATACTATATGTATATATGTTTCTGAAAAAAAAGACCAACAAAAAATCGTTTGCCTAACAGTAGCGTAGCGAAGGGCCCGCAGCCGCGGGGAGGCCCAGAGTTATTAGGGGCCCAAGGCAACAAAGATAAAATAAAAAAAAAAAGTTTCAGTACAATGAATAACATGCGTATCATTTAACATACATACAAAACATATATTTTACACAGGAAGGTAAAGGCAAGGCGGGGGGGGGGGAGGGGAAGGGAATAAAAAAGAAGTAATTTAGGGGCCCGGATTAAATTTTTTAATCCGGGCCCCTAAATTACTTATTTTCTATTCCCTTTAAAATTTGGTATGTGCAAAGAAAATGCATGTAAAAACTTATTTAAAGAATCAAAAAAGCGGAATAAAGAGACCTATTTTTCATAAGCCAAGTGCTCCAAAAAATGGTAAAACAACCGTACGTAAAAATAACATAAAAAACAAGCTTAACTCTTCTTCTTTCCAAAAATATACTATGTTATATGTTTCCGAAAAGAAACTCCTCAAAAATACGTTTGCCTTAGGCTACCTAAAAAAAACGTCAAAAAAACGAGTCACAGAATTTTAGCACAAAATTCGGCTTCGTAAATTGCACCTATATATATAAATATATACGCAAATCACAAATTTAATAATTTTGTTTAGATGTGTTATATAATTTATACCACAATAAATTATGATATGAAAAATAAGGTAAGATATGAGGACAACGATTAAAGAATAAATTTACTAATGGAAAATTAGATGTTTGTTGATTGGTTTCAAAATATTATAATATTTGTGACGAAAAAGTAAAGATACTATTGCATCAAGTATCTATTGCACTTAAAGTGTACATTATTGTAAAGTAGGTTCTTACATGTTTTGTTTTATTTTTTTGTTTAACGACTTTTCCCAATTGAGCATTTTTTCTCAAATTAGAATCTCATGAACGGATACAAGCTCTTGTCAAATTATCCATATATATATATATATATATATATATATATATATATATATATATATATATATATATATATATATATATATATATATATATATATATATATATATATATATATATGTATATATATATATATATATATATATATATATATTATATATATATATACATTATATGGATAATTTATATATTATATATATAAATATATATAATATATATTATATATATATATATATATATATATATATATATATATATATATATATATATATATATATATATATATATTATATATATATATATATATATTATATGGATAATTTATATATTATATATATAAATATATATAATATATATTATATATATATATATAATATATATTATATATATATAATATATATATATATATATATATATATATATATATATATATATATATATATATATATATAATTATATATATATATATATATATATATATATATATAATATATATAAATATATATTATATATATATATATATATATAATATATATAAATATATATATATATATATATATATATATATATATATATATATATATATATATATATATATATATATATATATATATATTTTAGGATATGCTTGAAGAAAGTATTTTTACTATATTCTTAATATAGTAAAAACTTAGCATTGAGCGAGCCAAGGCGATTTACTTTATTAATTGAATCAACAAAAGGCGTATAAATCACAAAAAAAACAAATAATATTTTTACATTTATTTCTAATGTATTTATTTATAGCTATTATTTAAATATAAATTCATTTTGCAACACGTTTTTTAATTTTGTAGAATTTTGTTATAATAGTTTATGGTAAATCCCACATTATTTGTGGAGAACATCGTATATATTTGATCCTAAATAGCATAAAGTAGCCAATACCAGATAAATTTAAGCCTCTCTGAAAGCTTCCATGATTAACTTCGATGTTTCATTTATTCGTATTCGCTACTTTTAAAAGTATAAAACTTTATTTTTAAAAGTATAAAATTTTATAGCATTTGAATTCGAATATGTGGCATATAAGATGTATATAAAACATGTAGTATTTTCAACCTGTAACCGGGTGTGATATTTACCATATATAACCTAGAAACGCTGACCGTCAGGTCATGTTATCCTGCTACTGGTAACATGTAATTTAGTACAATATGCTGCATGTTAACGTCAGGAAGGGCGTCCGGTTGTAAAACATTGCTTTAACTCTTTCATAACGGCATTTATATGTCGCTATGGAGAACATAAAAACCACCGTCCTTTATGGACGGTGGTTTTTATGGTGTATCTGTGATGTACCTATGGTGTAATAGTGTTGTATTAGTAGTTTATCTGCTAGTAGTGCTTTATTGCTGATAACTCATTGATATCAGGAATTTCGACTTAGCATAAAAAGGTTGGTACATGAAAATTTTTACTCAAAGATTTCTTTCTTTTCAAAAATATTTTAAAATAAGTCTAACTTTGCAAGTTTTGATAATCTATTTAGCAGTATATTATTCCTCTTTAGATTCTGGTTTACAAAGTTAAAGCTTTAGTTTTTACATTTAGTTAAAGCTGAATGTCTTTAATCAACATGTTTCTCCACGTACCAGCATTAAACTTTGCTCAACATTTTATATATTTTTTTTGTATGATGAGAAACTTCAGTCCGGCTATTTTTCAGCCAAATTTTTAAGTTGCAACTATTTTAGTTTAAAAAGAAATAATTTTAAACTTAAAACTATTTTTGTTCATAGGCGCAAAAATTTCAAAATCAACCAGTTTAAAAACGTTTTATGCTAAATTAGCAATGTCTCTCCACACATTTTACACAAAAGCACTTTTAATTAAGTTGCTAAAAAAAAGGCCTAGTGATAAAATTGCTAAAAACGAGGCACTGAAAAACATTCATTCATTGAAACTAAATAGTTTATTAAAAAATCTTGTTCTCGTTTTAAATACTTAATAAAGTGTAATCAATAACCAAATGACTAAGTACACTACCTCTCTGGGAATCACAGAATAAGCCCATACGTGAGTGTGCTTCATTGGTTCAGTGTGTCCTTTTAAAGGAAGTTAATTGGAATAGTCTAAATAACTTGAACTTTGATTAAAAAGACTATTCGGGTCAGGAATATATTAGAGCTTGTTTTTTCAGGGCACAGAAATGGTCTTTCTGCTAATACTCTGAATATAAATTCGAAAGACACGCACACTGCTATAGTCATGAACTAACCCTGACGAATTACACGTTACTAACTGCAATCTAAAACTATAGATATTTTTAGATGTTTTGCAAATTATCCCTGCTATCTAAAACTGTTGAAATTTTTGGATGTTTTAAATTTTATCACAGTACTTACGCACTTTATTCCTGCGCTTAAAAA